TTTACCTCTGTCCCACTAGGCCATGCAAACCTGTCTCAGTGTTCCCCTATCTATCTTGTTCTTCTGCCTCCTCCTCACTTCTTGTATTGCCCTTCCCAACACCCAAAGTAAACCCCCCCCCAACCCCATTGTGGTTACCTTATATTCCATTGGTTCTTCCCTCCATTTAAGAGTCTAGTCTCTGAGTCTAGGATCTCTGTTCCTCTGTGTTTACCTTGTTTCACATTGTACTTGTTATCATTTGCATTTTTGAACTTTAGCTGTGCTTTCGACTTTGGAGAAAAGTATCCTAGTTGTACCATGCTGAGTTGCTATTGTACGAAGTTAACATAGTGTGCAGAAAACATTCCATTTTTAATGTTTAGTTTAAAAAATTAAATAAATTTTTTCCCATTTGAACAGGGGGAATACACTGTACTAAATATGTAAAGTTTTATCTACATGGGTTTGTTTACAGAAATTAATAAAGTATTCTCTAAATTAAAAGAAAAAAGAAAAGTTTGGGCAGGGTGGGGCTGAGAGGGGAAACTAATTCATGGGCGGTTCAACAGTAGGGAGGAAGTAAAGGTCACATTTTGGTCTCCTAGAGGAGTCCTGCTGTAGCACTGGAGGATAAGCACAGGACCACAAGGTCGGTTTGAACCACAAGGTTGGCTGTTCAAGCTCACCAGCCACTCCTTGGAAGCCCTATACAGGATCACTAGGAGTCAGGACTGACTTGACAGCACTTAACAATAGAGGAGTCAAGAGGATGTGAGATCACAACTGTGAGGTTTGACATAGGGAAGGCCACTCCCCACCCCCACCCCCAGGAGACACTTGTAGTTTATACACTTGGCATCACCTCAGGTGGCCCTCACAGGTAGAGGAAGAAACCTGGGAATGAATAAGCGTCCTTGAGAGGAGGAAGTGGGATCCAGACTGCTCAAAGGAGAAACTGGCTTTCAACAAGAACTGCCACCAAGGAAAGTCTCAACTCAGATTGGGGTGTGTGTGAAACAGTTAGCTGGAGGGTCTAGAGGTACAGATTCAGGAAGCATGCACAATGACAGAGAGCGTTTGTGAAGACAGGCAAAATGTGGGTCACTGTTCAAACAGGTGATTAGTATCAGTTCATTACAGTGTATTATTCACTCTTGCATGTTTGTTTGAAAATGTCCATAATAAAGTCAAAAAAGAAAAAAAAACCTGTGTGGTTGTGTGTACTGTGCTGTGGGTATGTAGTCAGCTCACAAATCTGAGTATGCAAATACATAGGTGTGTGTCCACTGCCATGCGTATCCGCCTGTGTACACTGCTGCGTACATGCTGTTGGAGACCAGACCTGGGCAGGATGGAAGGATCAGCTTCCACACTTGCTCCAGCCTCTGGAAGAATGATTCCGTCCAGGTCGTGGGCGCAGTGGTCTTATTACAGAGTGTGAGACAGCGAAATTGTGTGCCTGAACTTGTGACGGGGTGTGTCAGTGTGTGAATGCCCAGCCGTGAGTGCAGGTGCAGGGAGAGACTTGTGAAGCTGGGCAGGTCGGGAGTACCCGCTGTCTTTCACAGGGTTCCCCGCAGCTCTTCAACGCCCCCTCCTCCTGAGTCTGGCTGGGTGGTGGGGACACCTGTTGGGGGGTCTTCAAGCGGTTGAACACACAGGGAGCCTCTCCGGTGTCGCCCCGCCCGCCCTGCCCCGCTAGGGTCCCGCCCCCGCAGCCGCCCGCAGCAGAGTGGTGAGTGAGCGCCCAGCCGCCGGAGGAGCGCACAGCGGCAGGAGCGCAAGGCTGGGGACCCGCACGGAGAGCCAAGCCGATCAAGGCAGGGGCCACCCGGGAGACCAGTGGAGCGAGCGCCGTGGAGACGCCGGGAACAGCGGGCCGCGCCAGGCTGGTGAGTTACAGCCGCTGGGACTGGGAGGGAGAAAGCTGGGCATCGCAATCCGCCACCCTTCCCACCCACCCAGCCCCGTCCCTGTCCGGGGCTCTGTCCCCGCCTCCAGGGTTCTTGTCCTCTGCGACTCTGACCCGTCTGTTTCTCCCTGTCCCGTCTCTGTTCCCTTCTATTCACGGTTTCACCTTGTCTCTGATCTCTCTCTTCTGTCTCTGGCTGAGTAGGTTTTTCCCGGTCTTTCTCAACCTCCGCTTCACTAATTGTCTCTCTCTGCTTCTGTCCCTTTCTGGGCCGTCCTTCAGGTTTTTACTATTTACCTTTTCCTCCTCTGTCTCTTTTACACTCCCTGTCTCTTTACCCCAGCTCTCTATTAATTCCATCTTTACACGTCTCTGTCGCTCTATCCTGTCTGTCTTCTGTCTCTCCTACTGTGGTATCTCTCCATCTCTGACTCTCCTAGTCTCTCTTACCCTTCTCCGTCTCTATCTCCATATCTCCCTGTCATTGTCTCTGTCAGATCTCTTCGGTGTCATTTCTGTCTGTCGATTGGTCCTTGTCACCTTCTCTAATTTGCTCATCTCTCCCTGTCTTCAGTCAATGCCTATCTCCGCGGGTCTCCCAGGGTTGGGTCTATTTCTCCTGATCTTCCTACCTCGCTGTCTCTGTCCATCTCTGAGAAAGCTGTCTCCCTGCTTTGCCTTTTGGCCCACTACACTTCCCTGCAACAGTAACCATCTCTCGCAGTGTTGGGGTGGTGGGGACAGCAGTGCCCGGCCCCCATAACTCCCTCCCTCACAGGCGGCCCTCCCCACCGGGCCCCGCCTGGTGCCAGGGTCCTCTCCAGCTGGGGGACTGCGCCTGGAAGCAGTAATGGAGGCCCTGCAGCGGCAGCAGGCGGCCCGGCTGGCTCGGGGGGTGGGGCCATTGGCCCCTCCCCGCCTTCCACCCCCAAGGCCTCCTCTGCCTGGACCCCAGACCCTGCAGGCCCCTGAGGGGGCCTTGGGTGAGGTTGGGGCTGAAGAGGAGGATGCTGAAGAGGAGGAGGAGGAAGGGGAGGAAGCTGGTGCAGAGGTGGCGGAAGCAGAGAAGAACCGTCCAGGGCCTGGGGACCCCAGCTCACCTGCCAGTCAGCTCCCTGGACCCCATCCCCATGAGTGGACATATGAGGAACAGTTCAAGCAGGTAGGACACCCTCAGTGTAGGCCACTCCCCCCTCTTTCCTCTCTGGGCAAAAACAGAGTCAAATGGTTAGGAGCCCGCCCACCCCTTCTTGCCTTCTGCAGGATGGAGAGTAAGACAGACCAAAACTGCAACTGAGAGACACTGTGGGAAGGTTAGGGGTCAGATAGTCAGTCATAGGGAGGGAGAGACCGAGGGACACCTAGAGACAGAGTGTAAAGACGGGGGTGGGATAGGGCTGTGTGATAGTGACAGAGAGGGAAAGACAGACACCCAAAAGAGGTGCAGGAATGACACCCAGCAACACCAGACAGAATGGAAGCCCTTGGTGAGGTTGGAAGAAGAGGTGGGGAGGGGCTATAGGGGCCTCCAAGCAGTCTTTTGCTGGAGAAGAATTAGGAAGCTGGGGATTCCAGTGACAGAGTTGAGTCCCAGTGCCCCGCTATGCTCTCACACATCAAACTGCAAGGTCATATTCCAGTGAAGGTGTTCAGGCTGGTGACCCTTGTCTTTGGTGACCCTTGTCTAAGGTTTCCATTCCCTTAGCAGGCTGGTGGGCCCTTCCTCTCTTCTTTGCCCCCCATCCCAATTCTTTTCCCTGGCCTGAGATCTATGAATGACAGTCCCCAGTCTGTGATGACCTCAGTGTTGACTGTATGGTCCCTGTGAACTGGAAATGTTATTACTCATAGGACCTTAATATGAGGCTCTTCCTTGCTTGTGGGTGGGGGTTCTGGGTGTTTTTCTAAAGATGTGACTTGAAGCTGCCATGCTGAGGGCATTACACAGAACTGTTTCTTGGCAAACTGTTATTCACGGATGTGACTCTAGGTGTGCTGTTCTGAGGGCGTTATTCCCAGGGTGTTAGTCTTGAGTGTTTTCCAGAAATGTTAATCTGTGGCTAGTACTTTGTGACATTAGTGTTAACAGGGATCTGTTACTCTGGAGAGGTGACTCTAAAGGTTGTTTCTCTTTTGCCTAATCTGTGATTGTTACTTGGAGAGGGTTTTATGTGTGGGTGTCTATCTAAGGAGTACTGGTGTGGCACTGTGGGTTAATGTGCTAGACTGCAAAGTCAGTTTGAACTGCAAGTTTGGTGGTTCAAGCTCACCAGTTACTCCTTGGAAACCCTCTAGAGGGTCACTATGGGTCGGAACTGACTCGACGGCATTTAACAAGAACTTAAAGCCTAGGGCTCAGTTGTTTGGGAGTGTTACCCTAAAGAGAAATCTCTAGGGTTTGTTACTCCTGGGTGTTTGTGACTCTAAGAGTTCTTATTAGGCATGGAATGACACTTGTGGGTGTTACTTAGGGCCTGTTACTCTGGTAAATGACTCCATTACTGTAGGGAGGTGGGGCTCAGAGCTACTGGGTAAGGGGTGAGATGAACCTAGGGTCCTTCAAGACCTGATCCCTGCCCTCCAACCCAGAAGTCCTGGGTGGCACAGGGCTGCAGTGGCAATTTCTGCACAGGGCAGGATCATAGTCGTCCTTGAAGGATAAACAGATTAAAGGGTGGGCTGAGGGACCCAAGGTTTCAAGAACTTCTGGGCATCCCCCTTGGCTTGGGGGTGGGTTTGAGGTATCTTTGCCCCGCTCTCTTTCCCCAGAACATAAGGATTCAAACAGCATAAAGCTCTTGCATGAATGAATGAGAGTGAATCAGTGTCTCAGAGCTACTTGTCAGTTTTTCTCAGTGCGGAATAGGCTTTTTTAGGGTAACTCCTCCCAGCTTCTCCTTACTACTTCCCTACTCCCCAGATGAGTGGTTGAGCTGTCTGGGTCACCACTAGCCAGTATACAACCTCTATGAGATTAGAAAAATGTGTCTCTGCCTGCTCCCTGGTAGTGAGAACCCAATGCCAGGAAGTCCACATTTCAGATCTGACTTGGCCACTTCACAACTTGAGTTAGGGGCAGGGGGGAGACCAGCAGAACTTGAGAATGACCTTGTTCCTTCTTCAGCTGTACGAACTTGATGCAGATCCCAAAAGGAAGGAATTTCTGGATGACCTGTTTAGCTTCATGCAGAAGAGGGGTGAGTGGGGTAATTGGGGGGGTAAGGATCCCGGCCTGAGGAAGATAGACCCAGACTTCAGTCCCTGCAGAGGTCTGAGCTGGATAGTACCTGTCCTTTGGGCCTTCAATAGCATCTTTAACCTCTGACCTTGCCCCCACTCCTCTGCCCCGGGATTAATTAGCGGTCAGACCACTGGCAAGTTAATGAGTGTGGGATCAATTGGGAGGGTGGGAGGGTCTTGGTGGGGGTTGACCTGTAGTGGTGGTGGTGTGGTGTCCCAGGACTGGAAGCTGGGAATGCCTTGGTTCTCTATAGCAGGTCCTTCTTCCAGCCTTGTCTCCCCTTAATTTCCTCTTGCCTCAGGAAGAGATAGGCCATCCCATGTGCTCGTCTACAACAGGAAAGATGGGGGTTTAGACTGAAGGAGTTAGGTGTGGCTGTGAGAAATGGGGCTATAGGGGAGAAGGTATTCCTTTCCAGGAATCAAAGCTGGATGAGAAGGAAAGTGTCCTGGAGGGGAGCAGGGTGGGTGGCAGTCCATCACTCTGGCTTCTCCCCAGATTCATGGGCCCGAAGACTGACTCATTATCTCTCTCTACAAAGCTAATTAACTCACTCCGACTGAGGCCTGATAAGCCACTAATTAACTGGCTGCACTGCAACCCCCCCCCCTTAGTGCAACGGCTGATCTAAGCCCCTCAGGCCCCCTCCCCAGGTCCAGCGCCCCTTTCAGTTCTCATCTTTCTCCAGGGACCCTCAGCGGAGCTCCAGGTTCTCTTGGTCCCCAGGGAGGCCTGGTCGTTCTGGTCCCAATGTCCCCTCCCTCTCCTTGCGACTGCCTGGACTACTCTCGGCAGGGTTGGAGGTTCTGAACAGACTCCATCCAGCACAGTCCTGGACTCTGCTTCCCTCTGCGCTCTGCCTCCTTCTGGTCCCCTGCCTCCCTCCACGCCTGCTGTGAGGGGGAGGTGTCCCGCGGGGCCGATAATTTCCCCCCATTAATCAGGCTGAGGCTAATTGTTCGGGTCCAAAGGCGGCGGAGGGAGGGGACAGGATCGGTAAGGAATTAACTGGGGCCCATCGCTCAGCGCAGACAGGCCCTTTTGTCAGGACTGGCGCGCGGGGGCGGTGCGGGCTGCGGAATCGCCAGACTGAGCTGGGTTGCTCCTTTGGCGCCCGCCACCCTCTGGCCACTGTTTAGCGGAGTCCCGCTCTTCAGTACTGTGGGGAAGTACTTCCTACGGTCTACCGTGTTGTTGTTGTTAAGTGGCGTCGAGTCAATTCTGGCTCAGAGCGACCGGGTGTAGGGTTTCCGAGGAGCGGCTGGTGGGTTTGAACTATCAACCTTGTGGTTAGCAGTCCAGACGGTCTACCCTAGAGGTCTAAATCCAGGGCCTGAGAGAAAAGAATGGTTCTTACCTTTTTTTTTTTTTTTTTGCGTGGTGGTGGTGGTGGTGGTGGTGTGGGGAATGTCAAAATAAGAATAACATTTCCAAAAGTGTGAAATTCCAACTTCACACTAAGCTTTATTGGAATTCGGGCCGCACTCATTCCTTTAAGAATCCTTTAAGACTTTTCTGAGTTCCTGGAAGGTGCAAAGGATTAAGGCTCTCAGTTGCTAACAGAAACGATTATTGGTTTGAACCCACCCAGAGGCACTCGGAGGTCCCGCCTGGTGATCTACTTCTGAAAATCAGCCATTGAAACCCCTATGGAGCACAGTTCTACTCTGATACACAAGGGGTCACCCTGGGTCTGAATCAGCTCAGGGCAACCAGTATGGCTGTTTTCAGGGGCAAAGCCGAGTACTTATGGCAGGGGCTGGCCTGGAAAATCTGAAATATTTTCTACCTGGACCTTTACAGAAAAAAAGTTTGTCCTGGCCTTACATCCCGTCTTCCTTGTTACAATGGAGCCCTAGGAGCTCTGACTCTAATTCCACCTCCTCCCTCCCTCACCCTTCTCCCGAACCATACCGAACCCAGGCATCATGCATGTATCCAGCTTCTTCATTCCGCCGGGATGCCGCACACAGGATCTTAGTGTCCTGACTCTCTGCCCACCCCACCAGGGACGCCAGTGAACCGCGTACCCATCATGGCGAAGCAGGTTTTGGACCTGTACGCTCTGTTTCGCCTAGTGACGGCAAAGGGCGGTCTAGTAGAAGTCATCAACCGCAAGGTGTGGCGGGAGGTCACAAGAGGTCTCAGTCTACCTACCACCATCACTTCAGCCGCCTTCACTCTCCGCACTCAGTGAGGCCAAGGGCGAGCGGCGGGGGGCGTGTGGGAGGGCTCCCGGGCCGGCGCCCGGTTGTGGGGCTTGACCAGCCAGGTCCAGCCTCCCGCCCTACACCGCATTCGCCCCTAGATACATGAAGTACCTGTACCCGTACGAGTGCGAGACGCGAGCGCTCAGCTCACCCGGGGAGCTCCAGGCCGCTATCGACAGCAACCGGCGCGAGGGCCGTCGCCAGGCTTACAGTGCCGCGCCACTCTTCGGCTTGGCAGGGCCGCCCCCTCGGGGAGCTCTGGGCCCCGCCTCAGGGCCTGTCCCTGTCCCGCCCGCGCCCCCGCCGGGTCCCGGCCCCTCCCAGAGCTCCACCCCCGGCCTGCCTGTGCACGCGTGCGCCCAGCTGAGCCCGAGCCCCATTAAGAAAGGTGTGAGGGGAGGGGACTGTGCAGTTTTAGGAATCTCTGTTGTCTAGGGAGAAGTGAAATATAGGGTACATACAATATAGAATATAGGATATTCTGATATGAGAGACATTGAGGAATAGGATTCTTTGGGGATCGCTTTTAGTCCTAAGGTTTAGGGGTCTAAAGTTTGGGGTCTTTGCAGCTTTGGAAAATCTGCTGTTTGGGGCTGAAGCTCAAGAAAAGGAGCAGCTCTATCCCACGTTTATCTATACGGGATTCCTATTTGTCTGTGTTTTGTACCTCCTGTGACCCGGATTACTTAACAAACAAAAGCAAGGAAATCCCCCAAACTGGTTTTTTGTTGTTAAGTGCTATTGAGTTTCTGACTCACAATGACCCTGAACGGAGTTTCTGAGGAACAGCTGGTGAGTTTGAATCTCCGACCTTGCGGTTCAAACCGACTTTTGTGCTTATCCTACAGCTCCACACCAGGACTCCCAACTGGCTTGCCCCTCCAAAAATTGTCTTGCATCAACCTAAACATATATATTAGTCCTTTGGGCTCTCCAACTTTAGAGCCTCCAGGCTGAGGCTCTAGACGGACGGGAGGGGACAGTGAGTTCTCTTGGGTGAAAAGCAAATGAAGAGATAGATTTGGTTGGGGCACGGAAACTGAATGACTTGTTCTTCCAGAGGAGAGCGGAATTCCCACCCCTCATGTGGCATTGCCTGTGGGTCTGGCCCTGGGACCTGTACGGGAGAAGTTGACACCAGAGGAGCCCCCTGAGAAGAGGGCTGTACTGATGGGCCCCATGGACCCACCTCGCCCTGGCGCACCCCCCAGTTTCCTGCCTCGTGGCAAGGTTCCCTTGAGGGGTGAGGAGGGACTTATTGCCCAGTGGGCTTTGGGCCTGTGTACTGAGGGAGGACAGGTACTTTGCCTGATAGGTGTTGGAAGCTGGCCTATCAGATTCCTCTATAGAGGACTTTGCAATTACAGGTGTTGGGCCAAAGTGGGATGGGGGTTGTCTTCAGTGATAGAGGAGGGCACTTGTAAGTCTAAAGTTTGATTCCTAAGATGTAACCCCTGCCCCCTTCTGACAGAAGAGCGGCTGGATGGGCCTCTCAGTCTGGCGGGCAGTGGCATCAGCAGTATCAACATGGCCCTAGAGATCAACGGGGTGGTCTACACTGGTATGGGTGTTGCCGGCTGTTTACACTGGCATGGGGATTTTAGACTGTTTCTACCAGCATGAAGCTAAAAGGTGTCTAAATCTGCATGGGTAACATGGAGTTCAGGGGATTACTACACTGGCATGGGTTCAAAGGGTGTCTACATGGCATGGGGTCCAAGGCATGACCTCATTAGCATGGGTACCATGGGATGTCTGTCCTGCATCATTATATATATATGCTCATGTATCATTACAGATACCAGTTTACCCATTTGAGGGTATCTATATTGGCATAAACACAAAGAACTTGTCCTAATTTTATGGCAGGAGTTATGTGTGTTGTAGCAATATTACTTTTTTGTTCCCCTCTTCTGTTTTCACACCTCACCCCCTCTATTTGTGTTTGCCCTCTACCATTTCAATCCTTTGCCAGGTGTCCTCTTTGCCCGCCGTCAGCCTGTGCCAGCTTCACAGGGCCCAGCCAACCCTGCACCCCCACCCCCTACAAGGCCCCCTTTCAGCGCCTTGCCCTGAGAACTCCCACTCAAAACTCGTGCTGAGGGAGAGGACAAGCCAGGGCACTCATTCTGGGACCCTGACCTCGGATGTGACTCCTCCTCCCCCATGCCCTGTGGACTTGAAGCCAAAGGGTTTCTTTCCATGTTACATCTACCTCATTGTAAAGGGAGAGCACCCACTCCCTGGCCAAGTCCAGCAACGTCTACCAAAGAGATCTCCCCCTAATGACCCCTATTAACGTCTCCATATGCTTCCTGTGTCAATGCCATATCTAGAGCTCAAGCTCTGCTCCTGTCCAGGAGCCAGGTGAAGGGTTGGGTTGGGAGTGTTGTGGAGGAGACGTCCCAGGCCATATCTGGACAATAAAGCTGCTTTCCCTCTCTCTCCTGTGTGTCCTCTCCTTCTTGTTTGGGGGAGGTGGGGTGGAGGCGATCTGGCCGCGTCTGGACAGGGATCCCAAGGGGAAGGTGTCCTCTTGCCCGCTGTCAGCCTGTGCCAGCTTCACAGGGCAAGTTCTGGCTCTTGAATCAGCCTTAGCTAGAATGCTGATTCTAGTACTGTAGACCTGGTGGCTTAGGGCAAGTCAGCTAATCTTTTGAACTTTATAAGACTCCAAAAGACTATGCTAACTCATGAGGCCTCCTACCTACCTAAGTAAGTGCGCATTTATCCTGAAATAGTGTTGTTAGGTGCCCTTAAGTGGTTACGATCCCTAGCGTCCCTGTATAGGGTTTCCAAGGAGCGACTGATGAGCTTGAACAGCTAACCTTGCGGTTCAAATCAATTTTACAGCCCAGCGCATTAATGCACAGCGCCACTGGGTAAATTTATATTAGAACCTCGTAGAATGGGGTGGGTAAACCTCAAATAGGACAGAGAAAGGCAAAAGTTGTTTTGACAATCTAATCTAATCTAATCTAATCTAATCTAATCTAGGGAGAGGTAGCCGTTGCCTAGTAACCAGGCCGCTTTTGACAAGGTTCACCAGCCCCTTCGGGAAACTTCCGGCTCTGCAGTTCGAATTGTGGTGTCACTTCCCTCCTGGAAGGCGCTGGTGCATTCGGATTGGCCAGCCTTCCTATTTGTACGGATGTCCCGCCCTCTATCTGTTCCCCCTCTGAGGCGGGGCGGCGGTAGAGATGGCGGCTGTGACGGATCTGCAGCGGCTACAATCTGGTGTGGAGGAGCTGGAGCGCTGGGTTTATGGATCGAGCGGGGCGCGTGGCTCGCGGAAGGTGAGCGGTCTGGGGTCCGATTGTCCCTTTTCGGGACAGAGCAGAGTGGCCCACTGCCTGGCCCACAGGGTGCAGGCAACCGCGCCAGATTCGGCCTTTGATGAAAAAGATCCTGAACCTCCCAGAGCCGATCTGACCCTCGATGTCCATCTCCCATGGGGAGGGAGGGGGAGACTCTGCAGGTGGTTAGGTCCACTTGAAATGGACTCCGTACAAATAGTGACTAAGACTCCACCCTGCTCTGGCCGCCTAACAACTGGAGAAGCTTACTGATGAGTTTCAATAAGAGCCAAGCCCACAATGGGAGGGCTGTCTTGGAGCTCAGCGTTATTCATTGTTAACTGAAAGGTGAGAGGCTTGTGATGCCTAGAGGAAGCAGGGCACCGGTGGATAGCGAAGGCTGCAAGGTGGTGGGGGGGGAGGGGAGCGGGGAGAGGTGAGATATAAGAGGGCTGGAATTAGGAGGGAAGGAGTTGGATACCTGCTGTTCAGATATGAACTGGAACTCCTTCACCTAAGTGACTGAATTTTGACAACCATGAGGCTCAAGCGTCCACTCATCCCTTTTTTACTATGGGAAGATCTTTAACTGAGGAATTCCTGCTGGAGTGTCAGGCATATCTGAAGCCTAGTATACATTTGAGGTAACCATGTCATCTGTATGCTTGTTGTGGAATTAGCTGTCACTATCAGATTGTGCTCCCATTTGAGAACTTCATAAAACTTTCTCTCCCTTTAGCACCTATGACTCCAACCCTTCTGGTTTTCCTCCTCTTTCTCTGGTTTCTTCTTCCCAGTCTTATATGCCTCTGCATATATTTGACTCTTGAATATTAACATTCTTCACCCCTATCCTTAAGCCCTAGCTCCTTCATTTCCATAGTTTGAATTGCCATTTACCCATAATTATGTCTCCAGTGTATATCTGCAGTTCAAATTTATGTTCTGAGAACCAGACATGTGTATTTAGTTTACTACTGGATGCCACCGACATCTCAAACTCAATCCACATGCTATTGACTGTACTCCTCCTCTCCCTTAACCTGATTCCTTTCTCTATTCCCTAATACAGGGATTTCACTGTCACTGGGATCCTAGAGGTTGTTTTAGATCCTTCCATCTCTCACACTACAGTTGATGTGGAGGGAGTAGGGGTAGAGCTGGCCAACCAGTCTAGAGGTTGGTACCGTCATCCATTGATGATGTAATAAGGTCTGGATGAAGATAGTTGCATTTATTGAGGGTTTCAGAACCAGGGAATATATGGTGTATTCTGGTACCCTATAAGCTCCAAAATAGTTCTTTACCTCTTAAATCAGACTTGAAACTGCCCAAAGAGCACATGATTGTCTCCCCATTCATACCAAGGATACCCTAAAGATGGGATTGCATCTCCTTTAATATAAAGGAAGCAGGCCAACCTATGTTGCTGGGAGAGTTGGGGAATAAGGGGTTCTTTACCTCCACCAAACCTTGATTTATATGGTGTATCTTGGAATTAACTTCCACTCCCCTTCTAGGTGGCTGATGGTCTGGTTAAGATACAGGTGGTTTTGGGTAACATCGCCAGCAAGAGGGAGAGGGTGAAGATTCTGTACAAAAAGAGTAAGTGCATTTCTGGGGTGCCTGCCTGTCCTCTATATGCCTGTTTTCTGGGACCTGACTCTGGCCCTTCAACCCAGTAGTACATGGAATGACCTTTTTGGGAGAACAAGAATGTGAAGATATGTCCCTGCTGAAGTAGTGAAGTGGGGTGTGGTGGGGTTTTTTTCCTTGTGAATAAACCCTAGGCCCGTGACAATATCTTAAGTTATAGAATAAGAGCTCCGGCTGACAGTTCCTGTTGGTGGAGGGAGGAAGGGCAAGGTTGTTGTTGTTAAGTGCCACTGAGTCTGTTCCTACTCGTAGCAACCCTATAGAGCATTTCCAAGAACTGACTGGTGGATTTGAACCACCAACCTTATAGCTGGCAGTCGAGTGCGTTTCTTACAGCACCACACCAAGGGCAAGGTTAAGAAGCAGAAATTAAGTACTAAGAGCCCCAACCTTGGGATAGTCATACTTTCTATGATTACCTCAGAGATCTAGCAACCCCTGCTCAGTAAGTGGAAATTAGACAAAGGTAATAAGGCTTGTCTTGGTGGCACTGAAAGGGAAAGGGACCTTTTATACATAGGTCAGTGGAGAGCTGAGGGTCCTAGGGTGGTGGTATCTTCAAGGCCTGAATTGATGAAAGGGGGTGGGAGCCTGGTGGGGAACTGCTGGTGGGACACTGTGTCAGCTCTTCACTGAGAGCTGCATAAAACAGCCCCACTTCCCAACTCTATCAGTTTCATTTTCTGTCTTGCTACTTTTCTAGTTGAAGACTTGATCAAATACTTGGATCCTGAATACATTGACCGCATTGCCATACCTGATGCTTCTAAGCTGCAGTTCATCTTAGCAGGTAGTGCTGGAAATATGTGCACGTCATCTGGGGATGTGCATTGTAGTGGGAGACTGGGCACAGAAATGGCCTCCCCATCTAGAATTTTCATAGATGCAGTCTTGGAAGCTACTCTCTGGGATTCTGGCCTGGTTCTGGCTAGAAGTAGCCCTGTGGGTCTTTTAGCAGGCATTGGGCATGGTTTCTTCCTAGGCCAACTCTAGCCCATGCTGCCAGCCACAGTGGGAGCTACCCTAATATGCCCTAGGATTTTCCTTCAGGCCTTCCTCACATCACACGGGAAAGAGGAGCCTCTAGGACAGGGTGGGGGCAGAGGGCATTTGGGAGAGGGCAGGTATTGTTATGAGTTTCATATCTTCCTTTCATATGAGAAGGGAATTTCAGAGGAATGTAGCAACTGTTGCATTGGCTATGTCTGTTAATAAGTCATCCAGACATCCACAAGCAAGGGCTTGCTGAGCACATCCTGTGTTCATTCATTCAGTCAAAAGATGTTTAGTGATGGTTTATTGTAAGTTATATGATGGAACGAGGAAGTCTATGCTCTAATGGGCACAGGCTCAAAGAGGCAGAATCCTTGTTGAGGGGCCTGACCTCATAACCCAGTTAGGAGATCAGATTCCCAAGAGGATGACTGAGGTGAAGGCAATGCAGCACTGAAGACTGAGCCTGGGCAGCTCCCACCAAGTTCCTGACTAATTGCCATGACTGAGGCACCAAGTTCAAGGGCTCTTCCACTGCACTGAATCTCTCCCTCTTCATGGTCACGCCCCCATGTTCATCCCTGTGTTAGTGACCTAGTACTGCCATAACAGAACTATCCCAAATGGGAGGCTTTAAAGAACAGAAATGTATTTCCTCACGGCTAGGAGGCTGGGATTCTGAATTCAGGGCATGGCTCTAGTAGGACATCCTTCCTTGTCTGTTTAAGCTTCAAGTAGTGGAAGCCATCCTTGGCATTCCTGGGCCTGTGAATGCTGTGGCTCCATTGTTTCTCTTCCTCTTCCCCCTGTTGTGTCTCTATGTCTATTGTGGTCTTTTTATAACTCAGAAGTGATTAGGTTTAGGATCCACTCTACATTGGCATGACATCATTAATATAAGAAAACCCCTATTTCCAAACATAGGGTCATGTTCACAAGTAAAGGGATTAGGATTTTAAGACATATTTTAAGGGGAAATAATCCAGTCTCTAACATCACCTCACACCTCAATAGCTAACAGTCTCTTAGTTACTTTGCCCAATTTGGAACCTCAGGCATCTCTCAGTCCTTGATGGATAAAATCCTGATTGCTGAACCTGCCAATCTCCAGGCTGACTCTTCTATCCAGTTCTATTTCCTATGCTCTCCCTGTTCCTGTTCAGCTAGCTGAATGCTTTGTCCTCTGCTAAATGATAGCGTAGATCCTGCTCTCTCACTGGACTCTTCCATGACTGCGCCAGCTGTTCTGTAGCTTGTAAGTGTGTGTGTCACTCAGAGCCACTGAGCAGAACCTGCTTAGTATATAAAGTGCCACATGTTTCCTCCCGTAGATCTTTCTGGAGTCCATGGGGGTGGGGATCCAAGTCTGAAGCCCTTTGTACCCTGTGGCCTAGACGGGAGCTCACTGAGAATTTATTAAGAAGTTAGAGGAAGAGGCCCTGGAGTTGAAACTTGGAGAAAGGTGGAATTTGGAGAAACTGAGAGACCCCTGGCTCAAAATGGTTCAGAGCAGAGGCATCCAGGAGACGTGGGGCAGGATGGGGGTATATGTACCCCAAACAGGGACCTGTGGTTAAGAGTGGGTCTCCAAAGCTTCAAGATCCAGCCATCTTCCCTGTCAGGGAAGTAGACCCACCTCACTGCCTCTGTCTTGTCTGCTTATGCTTCAGAGGAGCAGTTCATCCTGTCCCAGGTTGCCCTCCTGGAGCAGGTGGAGGCCTTGGTGCCCATGCTGGACAGCCCTCACATCAAAGGTACCTATCTGGAGCTGTAGCTCCACAAAACTACTTGGGACAGGGGTGGATGAGTAGGGCTTCCCCAGGCCCCGGGTACTCTGAGTCCAGGCTGGATCTGCACCTTATCTTTACACTCACTGGGGGCCAGCTGCCACCTTCATGAGGACTCAAATTGTTGGGGCAGAGAGCCCAGGATCAGGAGCTCAGGCAGTTGGACCCAAGGACCTTAGTATAAGCTTCAGCAGCCTCCCATCTCTGTAGATTACATCTAACTTCTACCCCATCCCTGGCATCTGCCCTTCAGGGTCCAGCAGAGTCTGGATTGTACTATCAAAGCTCCTGCCAAGTGGGAATGTATGTGCGTTCCTCTTGCCGCACTGCTGAGAGCAGTTCCTGGACTGGGCTTTGACAAGCAGACAGTGGCTTTAATTGAATCCAGATATCCATCTTGTCTGTCTCTGGAGGCGTTTTGCCCAGCTTCCTATCCCCACCCCTGATCAGCTACCTGCTGAACATCTGACAGCTTAAGCCGAGGGCCTAGCATGGTGGCTGAGGCTCTGGATTTTGGATTCCAGGTGGCCAGTTTAGGGACCTGGCACTCATCCTCAGTCCCCCAGCAGGCTCCCTGCTGGACCAAGGGTAATAGGACAGATCCTAATGTAAACTAAGCCCTCCCTACCTAGTTCTGCTTACAGCACTGGGGTGGGGGCAAGAGGCAACTCTGGAGACCCCAAGGTTTTATGTTCTAGAGGCCTGTATCCTCCCCACCAGGTACTGGAGTAGGACTGGGATAGGCAGGGAGCCCCACCACCTCCAGCTGCAACGGTCGATGAAGCCTGGCGATTGTTTAGCTTTCCCACTCAATACTCTAATCCCGCTGAAGACCTAATAGACTATTGAGCAGTCCCGGGGGAGGGCACAAGCGTCATTGGGCAGTGCGTTGTGTTTTACAGCCGTTCCTGAACATGCTGCCCGCCTGCAGTGCTTGGCCCAGATCCATATCCAGCAGCAGGTATGGGAGAGGGCTGGTAGGAAGGTGGAGGTGGTAAACCACCTAGTCCACACTTCTGCCACCTGGGGAAGTAGCCTCAGGCCACTCTGGGGTCATTTCCAAGGGAAACTTAGGGAGGTGGGTGGGTTACCCTTTATCTTGCCCTGGACAGAGGAAGGTACTTACCTAAGGCCACATTTAGGTCTCCTGCCTCCCAGAGTAGGGCTAGTCTGAGAAGGTTGATTTGGGGAAGCAACCAAGAATTCGTGAGATGGTGAGTCTTTTTGACTTTAAGTGGAGAAGCTTTTTTCCCCTCACTATTCCCAGGCCTTAGTGTAAAGCTCAAGGAGCCTTGGTGGCATAGTGGGTTATGTATAGGGTTGCTAACTGCAAGGTCAGCAGTCCACCAGCTGCTCCATAGGAGAAAGATGAGGCTTTCTGCTCCCATAACGACTTATAGCCTCAGAAACCCTGTATGTAGTCACTATGAGGTCGCAGCAGCAGCAGCAATGTAAAGCTAATAAAGAGTTCAGAAATAGGGGGCAGGGGAGGGGACCTACTAGGGGGAATGTTTCCTTAAATGTGTGGCCTATTCCTCCTTCCATCACCCTTTGGACGAAAAATGGCACCAGCCACACCACTGCAACGCACCCATCCCGCAGCCTGCACTTTGCTCCTCTGGCTCTAGGATTAAGCATCATCTTTTATGAGGAGGCAGGAAGGCTAGTGGGAGGTTGGGTTTTTGTCTGACTCCTTTTTCTGCTACTCCTTGGCCCCACAGGACCAGTGTGTGGAAATCACCGAAGAGTCCAAGGCTCTCCTAGAGGAATACAACAAGATTGTATCCTTTCTGCTCAATTAGGCCCCTAATGGGTACTGTCCCAAAGCCCTGTCCCTTTGTCCCTGCCTCACCAATCTGCCTCTTCCCCTGGTCCCCGTAACCTTTTGGCTGGTACAGAATCTCGCCACTCCCTCAGACTATGGTTCTTCTCACCTTGACCTGTGACCAGACGATGCTTCTCTCCAAGCAGTTTGTGCAGTGGGATGAACTACTTTGTCAGCTCGAAGCTGCTAAGCGAGTGAAGCCAGCAGAGGAATGACAGCTGCTTCCCAGACCTGTACCACTTTGCCTTTGTAACAGGGCAGAGGCAGCTCTCTGTTCGTATTTATTAGATTCATGACTCACCTGTCTGCCCTCAGGTGGGGCTCTGAGGTCAGATGTCAGGAGTTACCTGAGTTCAGGAGTTACCTAAGATTTGTACCACCTCCCAGTCAGTGCCCTTATTTCAGTGACAATAAACTATAGACATCAATGGAGGTGTGTGCCTACTTCCTTATTTCCTATAGGGTTGGTGGTGGGGGAGGTGGGTAGCTGGCACCTAGTAGTTGAACTGGGAACTGCATGTGTCCTGATCTGGCCACCTGAAGGTGTAAGGCTCTCAGAATGAAGGCTTTCATTTGATTATTGTGAGTGGGACATTCCTTTATGCTTTCATTTATCCAGCTGTCACTGAACACCCTCTAACTAAAAGTATCACGGACTTCTAGAAGAACAGACAAATCTGTGTTGGAAGAAATACAACCAGAATGCTCCTTGGAAGCCAGGATGATGAGACACTTCGAACGTATTGATAAGAGGCACCAGTCCCTGATGAAGGATATCGTGATAGGTAAAGTGGAAGGTCAACGAAAAAGAGGAAGACCCCCCAATGAGATGGATTGGCACAATGACAGCAATAGGGCTCCGGCAGTGTTTTGTTCTGTTGTACATGAGGTCGCTGTGAGAATCAACTCAACCGCACCTAACAACATGCCCGGTGGGGAGGACACAGATAGAGCCCGCCTAATCCCAGGGTGAAGAGAGAGAGTCGAGGAAAAGGGTGGCCCTATCAGGTGGACACAGGGTTCTTTGGGGGACCAGAAGGGATAGTTGATATGGAATGACTTGAGAGCCCAGAGAGGTGCCTTTTACTATCTCTAGCCTGGTTGCCTACCTAGGGCTCAACCAACAGGGGGAGCCCAGAAAACATGGAAGATTTGGGGAGTTTTGGGTTCTGGGTCAGGGGAAGGGTGGTTGAGTAGGAGGTTGTTGCTGTTAAGTGCCATCAGTCAGTTCCGAGTCATAGCGATCCTGTACAGGGTTTCTGAGGAGCGGTTAAGGGGGGTCTGAACCTCTGCTCTTAACGGTTCGCAGTCCAGTGCTTATCCGTTCGCAGTCCAGTGCTTATCCGACAACGCTACTCCAGGAGGAAGTATTAGAAAGCAGACACCCACTCTGCCAAGCGTTTGCTGCCCCCTTGTGGTTTTAATGCTGGCTTCCAGCACCCTTTTCAATTGCCGCCCCCTCCCCCATATGTACTGGTATCTCAAATTCAGCTTGTCCAAAGCGGGCCAAAACCTGGGATTCATCCTAGATGCTTCCCTCCTCTCCAAACGGTCGCCAAGTCTTCACAGAATTTACTTCCTTATATTTCCCAACGTAATCTAATTCTCTCCTTTCCCACCGCCATTTCTCTGGACGATTGTTTTAAACAAATATTTAACATATGCGCCATTCCAGGCTTCGTTGGCACGCCCCCTGGGCCCCACGGCCAGAAGTCAGCAGCAGCTGTGGATCGATTCCCACTAAGTCCTCTTCCGCTGAGGCGGAAGTGTGTGTCTTCTTGACTGGCTCCCGCGGAAATCCCTCCGGGGCTCGTAGGATCCGCAAGATGAGGCGAAGCTCAGAACGCAGTAATCGAGTTTCTCGCTAGCACAGCAAACTGAACCTCGCTGCTTTTTGCCTCACCTTTGCCACTGCCGGGTGCCCAATCAGTACGCCAGTCTTCCCATCCTCGAAAAGCCAAAGCCTCCTGGTCCATCGGACACTTGTCTTCTCTGATGGCCGACCCTCACATTCGCAGGGCTCTCTGTCCCCCTGTAGGAGAGCCTGGGGCGTCACAGCGGATATCCCAGGCTCCGGCAGGAGTCCTAGCTCCATTCACTATTGGACTCTAGCTGATCCTCAGTTTCCCCTGCAGAAGTCCCGCAGGCCGCGTTCTCTCAGGCCCCGCCTTTGGCGTGCGCGGCCCCGTGGCTGCGGCGCGCTCCCGGGCCACGCGCCATCTTGGCTCCGGATCGCGCGTGCGGCGGGCGCGGCGGCGGCGGTGTGAGCCAGAATCGGGTAGACTTGGGGCTCTTGGAGGTGGCGGGTGGGAACTCAGGTGGCACTGCGACGGGCGGGCTGCAGGCCAGACGCTAGGAGCAGCCCAAGCAGCCGCCCTTATCGAGCTCCCAAGTTTCAGTGACCTGGCCTGGAGATCAACCCTGACCACCGGAATCTTGGGGTGAGGGTGCTTGACCCTCTTCTAGAAAGCCTGAAATGAGGGAGAATCGATTCTAACTTTTGGACGCCTGGGGTAATGGGTCTTGACCCTGTTCTTAAAGAGCCAGGAGTGAGGAGCTCTTAACCCTGATTTCGGGAAGTTGGTGGTGGGCTGAGCTTTGGTCCCAGCCCAGGGGACCTCAGGGATCATACTCCAGAGAACCTAATGTTTAGGGACTTTAGAATGGGACGAGGGTACTGGCCCTGTGCAGAGTCTGAGGTACAGCTCCATCCATCCCATGGGATATAGCCCTATTCCTGGAAAGGAGCAGGGTCAGAGCCTGGAGAGTTGGCAGGAGGGTGGCCTGGGGTGCAGCACTTATCTAACACTTCCCTGCAGAGGGCAGCACGTCACTGACGACCACAACAAGGAGCAAGCAGGATGGAGCACTACCGGAAAGCTGGCTCTGTGGAGCTCCCAGCACCTTCTCCCATGCCCCAGCTACCTCCTAATACCCTGGAGATGAGGGTCCAAGATGGTAGCAAAATCCGCAACCTGCTGGAGCTGGCACTGAGCCAGTTAGAAAGGGGCAGTGCTCGCCATGTGGTGTTCTCTGGTTCTGGCCGGGCAACAGGCAAGGCTGTCAGCTGCGCTGAGATTGTCAAGCGCCGTGTCCCAGGCCTGCACCAGCTTACCAAGCTGCACTTCCTGGAGACTGAGGACAGCTGGGTTCCAACCTCACCTGACACCGGCCTCGACCCTCTCACGGTGCGCCGCCATGTGCCTGCGGTGTGGGTACTGCTCAGCCGCGAACCCCTGGACCCTAATGAATGTGGTTACCAGCCCCCGGGAGCACCCCCTGGCCTGGGCTCCACTCCCCGCGCCAACTCTGGCCCCCGACCCCGAAGAAGGGTTAGAGACACCCGGTCCTGAGAACCTGCCCCCGAGCCCTGTCCTCCAGATCTGTGTCTGGTAGACTGGAACTCTGTTCTCTAGACCTGACTATCAGGATGACTTTGCTTTCTCTAGTGAGCCCCTCTTAACTGTTCAAAATCCTCAACAAGGCTTGAATCCACAGAAGTGGGCCCTGCTACCCTGCTTGCCCTTTCCCTTGGTACTGGGGAAAAGGGTTGCTATGAAGAGTGGCACATGTTGAATCTCTGTTGTGTTCAGTACTGCTTAGAAGGACTCACTGCCTTCCACCTACAGTGCCTCTCATCCGCGTCTAAACACAAGTTCAGGGAATGAGGAAATAAAGATTCTTCCTATGTGTCTGATGAACCTCTGCACTGGCCTGCTGTGTGGGGGTGGGATTAGGGGAGTGGGAATTCTTGTCCCTGCTCCGCTCTGAGTGGCATTGACTCACCATCTGGTCCCTTTAGCTTTGGAACCAGGCTTCCTTGTAGGTGATGAATCTTTGGCTCACTATCACATCCTGATCCAGTCAGCTGTGATCAGAATGGGATGGTTGTTGTTGTAGTTGTAAAGTGCTGTCGAGTCGATTCTGACCCATAATAACCCTGTAAGGGTTTCTGAGGAGCAGCTGGTAAGCTTGAACCACCAACCTTGCAATTCAAATGGTTTTGCAGTCTGACGCTGTAGCGCCACAGATGGGATGGTAGATCACCCGAAATAAACATGGTTACCTGCTCCAAAGAGTGATTCAGTAGGGTGGGCGTTGTAAGCACTGAGAGTTCAGGTGGTGGTGGTGGTGTGCCATGGAGTCAGTTCTGACTCACAGAGACCCTGAGTAGGGTTCCTGAGGCTGTAAATTACAGGAGCAGAAAGCCTCATCTTTCTCCCACAGAACATCTGGTAGTTTTGAACTGCTGACCTTGAGGGTAGCAGCCTGACTTGTAACCACTATGCTAACAGAGTTCCAGGAGGGGCTCCCAATTGTGTAACCCCTCATGGAAGCATTTCTTGGTCCTCAGAATGATACAGGGGTTGTGGAGGGAAACTAACCTGGGTCAAACATTCCTCCAGAGAACCAGAATCAATCACGCTCCGGGAATCAAGAAATAGGTTGAGGGATGATGGCTGGGGATTGTGGGACTTTTTCTTTCCCCTTTGACTTCCACTGAATTGACTCAACAGCAAGTAGTGGTGGCAGCTTCCCGAGGGCCTAACCAGAGCCTAAAGAAGGAATATCAGGGAGGAGACCAGAGAAGATGAAACCTCTGGAGTCAGAATGCCTGACCAAGTCCATGTGTATGGAATAGTAGAGTAGGTGGTGGATGAATGGGTGAATGGGGAGGAGAAAAGTATATAATTGCTGATTGTTTCTTCCCACTTTCTTCATAATCCATGGCGTTGTGGCTTCTGCTTCTATGATATCTTAGAAAAAGGTATGCCTTGGTAACTTGGAAAAATTCTTTGAAGGAGGTGAGTTGTGAATGGGAAGAGAGAATGGCTAGATTGCTATAGAAGAATATGGATACAGGGAGGGTTTTTTTTGTTTTGTTTTAATATTTAGAAAATTGAGCATACTTGTAGGCTGATGGAGGCAGCCAATAGGAAAAGAGGTGAAAGATACAGGAGATGGTGGGTAATTGACAGAGTGAAGCTCCTAAGGGTGAAAAGGAATGAGCTCTAGAAGCACAGAGCTATGGGTGTCCCAAGGGGAGAGATGAGTCCCTGTAACAGGAAAGAAGGAATCCAGGACATGGAATTAGATAGCTGAGTGGCCTGGAGGAAAAATCTCTGGAGAAAAAGTTGAAAATTGGGCTGGGAAGGATGGTAGTATAGTAATGCACATCTGGGTGGACAAAGAAGTCAGCCAGGATGGAATGTGAGAGCATTCTCACTACTTTTTTTTTTTTTTTTTTTTTTTTTACAGATGGGATGTGTAGAGAATTTGCTAACTCTGGAATGGGGACATTAGAATATGATATGCCCAGAGGGGTTATCTCTCATTTGATAAGGATTGATGCTGAGTCCTGCCAATTTTGCCTTTGAGGTCTCTAAGGAGCCTTGGTGATGCAACTGTTAAGTGCTTGGCTGCTAACAAAAAGGTTGGCAATTTAAACCCAGCTACTATGGGAGTCCTGGTGTGGCGCTGTGGGTTAATGTGCCAGACTGCAAAGCCATTTGAACTGCAAGGTCGGTGGTTCTCTGGTAGCGTAGTGGTTACGAATCGGGCTGCAAACTGCAAGGTCAGCAGTTCGAAACTACCAGCTGTTCACAGGAGAAAGATGAGGCTTTCTGCTCCCGTAAAGATTTACGGGAAACTCTGTACAGGGTCGCTATGGGTCGGAACTGACTCAACAGCACTTAACAACAACTATGAGAGTCCTGGTGTGGCGCTGTGGGTTAATGCGCCAGACTGCAAAGCCATTTGAACTGCAAGGTCTGGTTCAAGCTCACCAGCTGCTCCTTGGAGACCCTTTACAGATCGCTATGGGTCGGAATCGACTCGACGGCATTTAACAACAATAACAACTATGGGAGAAAGATGTGGCAGTGTGCTCCCATAATGATTGTTGTGGTGGTTAAGTGCCATCGAGTCAGTTCCGACTCACTGACCCTGCATAGGGTTTCCAAGGAGCAGCTGGTAGGTTTGAACTGCCAACTTTGTAGTTCAAAGTCCAGTGCTGATGCATGAAGATTACAGCCTTGGAAACCCTATGGGGCAGTTCTACTCTGTTTTCTAGGGTTGCTGTGAGTTAGAATTGAGTGGACAGCCCCAGATTTCGGTCATTCCATCTGTATAGCCTCTGGGTTTGTGCCACTCATTATTTTGCAAGTCTCCTTACTGGTCCCTCTGCTTTACTCCCCTCTGAGCTTTTTCCACACCAAGCCACTGGCAGTGCCCTCTGTTCAAAATGCTCTTTTCCCTGCGTGGCTCTCTCTCTCTCCTTCCTTCCTTTAAGACTTGGCTCAGATGTCACCTTATAAGGCCTACTCAGACCACTTCATTTAAAATTGCAACTCAGCACTTTTGATTTCCCTTAGCCTGCTTTTTTTTTTTTTTTTTTATGTGCATGATATTATTTTTGTAATCTAACATTGGAGTGCGGAGTCCTCTTATGGTGCCGTAGTGTAAACATTGGAATGTTACCACAAGATTGGTGGTTCAAACCCATCAGCTGCTCTTTGGACACTCTATACAGGCTTGCTATGAGTCGGAAACAACTCGACAGCACTTAACAACAACAACTTTGGTTTGTGGTGGTTCTGTAGGATAAATTCTAGACTGTGAGCCCACCAGCTGCTCCATGGGAGAAATATTAGGATTTCTCCTGCAAGGATTTGCAACCTCAGAAACAGGGTCAGTATGAGTCAGAATCAACTCACCGACACTTAACAACAACAACATATAATTTCCTTAGAAACAACATTTTTCATTTCCTTTTTCCAGGATGAGAATGTAAACTCAGAGGGCAGGGTTTTTGTTTTGCTCACTGGTGTATCCTAACGATCTTGAGCATTGCTTTACTCAATAAATATTTAATGAGAGAGTGAGTGAATATTGAGCCTCCAAGTGTATGGCCACACCAAATCTGATCTGGTCATGCCCCTGCTCCATTAGCCTCCCCATGCCCAGATTAGAGAATAAAATTCAAACTTCTTTGTTAGATCTGACCACTGCCAAGATTTGACCCATATTTGACCTAGTCTCCTGGGGCTTTGGGTTAAGGTGAAGTAAGAGTAGTTGAGAGAATGAGAAGGATAAGGCATTGTAGTTAAAGGGTGAGGATGGCTCACCCTTTCCACAAGGGCCATGAGATTTTCTGTCTCTCTCAGCCTTTACTGTTTGCCATCCTATCTGATTGGGACTCCTCAAGACTGGGTATGAGCACTCTCCTCAGAGTTTCACCTGAGCTCATTTCCCTACTCCCTACTGCACTCTGGTTGTCTGGAGCACCCAGAGGCCAGGCTTAGGCCTAAAGTTTTTGGAGTTCCTCCAGCTCCCATATTGGTCCTTGCTTGCACTAGGAACATGATGTTCTAGTACACTCTAGGCCTGGCCACAAGGTGGCAGCATTTACAAAGGGATGGTACCTCATTTCCTCTAGGATTTTTGCCTAGGACTCTCCCCACCCCATACACCCCTCAACCCCAGGAGTTCTAAGCAAAGATAAAGTTGAACCTTGAAATCTGGTTCAAATGGTCTTAGTTATCCAACAGATATCTAATTATTACTCGCAATATGACGAATACAGACACACTGGGCTCAGCATTTCCAGCCCCATGAAAGTTGGTGCCTTCAAGTTGGTTTTGACTCGGTGGCCCTGTGTATAGCGGAATGAAACACTGCACACTCCTAGGCCACCCGCACAGTTATTGCTGTTCTTGAGTCCACTGTTGTAGCCACTGTGTCAATTCATTTTTTGAGGGTATTCCTCTTTTTCACTGACCTCTACCAAGGACCATGTCCTTCAGGGATGGGCCCCTCCTAATAACCTGAGTGCTCTAACTACATGCGTAATTTCACTATGACGTGATAAGTACACAAATAAAGGGACGTTCATGAAGCTATAGGTATTTAGAGGAGACCACCAACCCAGTTTTATGGATGGACAAAACCAAGGGAGAGGAGGTAACATCTGCATGGAATCTTGAAGGAAAATGAGCTGGAAGTGGAAAGGACATTCCAGGGGAAGGGAAAGCACAAGCCAAAGCATAGAGGTGAGAAGCAGGATACAGTGTGGGAACAACGACAGGATGATTGCTGGAGCGGGAAGTTCAAGGTCTAGAGTGAGATTCAGAGGAGCGTGGGGCAAGGCTGGAAAGATGTGAGTGGTTAAGGAGCTTGGACTTGATGCTGAGAAGGATGTGCAGTCACTGAAAGAGAGGGTTGTAGAAAACCAGACGTTTTAGAGAGGGCTCTGGCTGCTGCAGCATACAGAGTGAACTGGAGACACTGGGCAGGAAAAGCAGAAGGCTGCTATAGAGATCCAAGGGATGGATAATGGTGAGGTCAAAATTATGGTCAAAGGCGGCCCTGGAAATGCCCTCCCCAGC